GTATGGGACGGACGAAAAAGGTAAAACGGGACAAACTTAAGGAGACGGAGGGAGTATGAAAGTACCAAGTACGAAGTATTTAATTGGCAATCAAATAAACTCCGTACGAAATCATTGTTTTGAAAAAGTACATGCAATTTAATCAAGTCAAAAGACAAATTATTTATTATTCTACAATTCGTGTGCAACTTTGCAAGCGATTAACTTTTTACTTTTGACGTGAACATAGAATGCTCTCTCATGATCTTTTTACTTGAACTATCTTTGATTTCACCAAATCAGACTTGAACAATTATAAAATACATAGAGATCAGACATTTCTCTCAGATCAACGAAGATGAGTCCAAAAAAAACATTCGTAGTTTTTTTGAGCCGTATCATGCTAGTATTACTGTAAACATCTCCCAGACTCCCACATATATATCCTTACAGTCAGTAAAGATAGAAAACAATGGATTGACTGGCACAAAGGCATCCTTGCAGCCTTTGCAGGCATATATTCTTTTGTGCTTCTACACTAGACCTTCGCCCAAGGTTGTCCGAACTCCGAAGTCCTAAACCCACTGCCAAGCAGAAGGCCAATGATGATATTGAAATGTTCCACCAATAACACTGAGATTTTTTTGGTCATATATTCCACTGATAGATATAGAAATATTTTTTATTCTTTTAATTAATATATAAGGAATTCCGTACTTTGAAACACCCAATTAAACATTTCGCTTTTAAAAAACGTTCAATTTAGCATAAAAAACGTTCAATTGAGCAATTTGATAGTTAAACAAACCGTTTTCTGATTACTTGCACACATGGTGACTTGCATGATACCTATTTTTTTCTTTTTCCCGCTTGCTTCCTTCCTCGCCTATTGTGGGAGCAAATTCATTGCAGTTCACTAGGAATTTAATAAATACCTTTTTTTACTGCCTCCACATCTTTATGTTTTCATGTTCAACATCTATATTGTCTCAATCTCTTTATTATAATCTCATATTTTCTAAATGTCATTTTGATATTCTTATCATTCATGGAAGCATCTTCCGCTATTCCCATAATCCCATTGCAATTAGTCATGGACCCGGGCCGGGCCGGTTCCGGTTCCGGGCCGGGCCCGGCCGGGCTTTTTTTTTGGGAAGGAAGGCCCGGGACCGGCCCGGGTAGCCACCGGGTCCGGTCCGGGTCCGGTCCGGGCCGGGCCGGGCCTCCGGTTCGGTTATATATTTTTTTATTTTTTTTTTGCTTTCCTAACCCCCCCACTCACCCCCACACCCCCCCCCCAAACCCCCAAACCCCTCCTAACCATCAAGCCCAACTTGGCTAACCCCAAAAAAAGAAAAAAAAATTAAAAAAAAAATAATTCGGCCCGGGCCCGGGCCCGACCCGGCCGGGCCGGTTCGCCAAATTCAAGGCCCGAGCCCGGACCCGGCCACCCCACCGGGCCTAGGCCCGACCCGGACCCGAGAACCGGGCCGGTTCCGGGCTCGCACAGTGGCGGGCCGGGCCGGTCCCGGGCCGGGCGGCCCGAACCGGGTCCATGCCTAATTGCAATTCTAAATCCCATTGCACTACGCTTTCAATAAGAATTAAGAAGTATTTTGTTGGAGATACTAATTCAATTCTAGGCGGTCAATTGAGCAACTAAATGGGCAGATGCCAATCAACTATGCTAGAGGAATTGAGCGGTCAGGGATCAGCCACACCCACACGCAGCGATCATCTCCAACTTTCTCTCATTAATGGAGAATATCACTGTAATTAAATGATCTTATTCAATCACCCAATGGATCCACAAAGTAAAAAGTCAGTGAAATCCAATTTAAGAAAGTTTTTATATTTTTGAGACGGTGTAAAAGAAAATATATCTTACAGTGATATAAATTATCTTAATTATTGTTGCATTTTCATAGAGTTTTTTCCTAACTAATGCTGAAAAAAGAATTATTTACCAAATTATGGTTGGGCTAAAACTATATACGAAAATGCTGTTGGTTTAATCTAGAGTTAGCAAAATCGCCATTTGAAGTGGCGACTTACCTTTAAAATACGGAAAGGACTGGAGCAAATGGAAATGGGATTTTGCTTGGGGTACACTAAATGTGTACACATGTCTGCCCTTCAGAGAAAATTTGTCTGTCACAGACAATTCATTATGAGTTGTCTGTGACAGACAAAGTTTCTTCGAAGAACAGACATGTATACACATTTTGTATACGAAATGCATTTTCCAATGGAAATGGCCATGCGTAGCATAAAAGGGTGCCACACGTAGGAGAGAGAAAGTGTGGATTATGTTAAAAAAATCTTCATTTCCCCTAAATTGCTATAACTTTTGTGTTTTCATTCCAAATTTTATAAAAACTATGTTAAATTTCTATTACCTTTCATATGACACAAATATGTCATATATAAAGTTTTACAAAATTTGAAGACATATAACTAGGGATGACGATTGTGACCGATCTGATACATACTCGCACCGAACCGCTCCGATCAAAATAGAGAAAACCGCATCGACCGAGTAACAGGAACGAGGCGGCGAATACCCACGGTTATACCCGTTACCCGCTCCGATCATTTATATTAAATAATCAATGACTCATTTAATAAAGTAATTACTCGCGATTATACTCGTTACCCGTTGGAGTGGTTGTGATTTGAGTAAAAATTATCCGTCTGATTATGAGGCGGTTACAGCTTACGGGGTGGGCAAATTACCCAATATGGCGGGTACGATTATGAGCCCGTTTGGTAACACTAAAATTGGCTGAATTCGCTGATTCTGCTGAAATTTATGAAGTTCTGACTAAAGTGGTTGTATTGGCTGATTCACGAAAAAATTCAAAATATTTGTTATTAATAAGTTAAATAAAAAATTAAATGAAAAATAGCTAAAATGATCCTCTACAGTAACTTCAGCCAATACAACCAGAAAAGTAACTCCAACCTTACTTTTTCTGCTTATTACAAAATTCAGAGCTCGAAATCAAAAAGTTACATGTTTGGTGAAAAATATGGTTGATAAGCCTGATAAGCCGAATAAAAGGATCACCAAATGGGCTCTATATTTAAAATCGTCATTGATGCGCCCCATTGTCATCCCTACGTATAACGTGAAAGCTAGACTCAACCAGTCAACAAATTTAATTCTAAACAAATTTTTAGTTTATAAACATCAAATGACCCAATTACAATAATTTTCTAGACTCAGATATTTTCTTAGATAGAATGAACTGTAAAATTAAGATCTCATAATTCATCTTTCATGTATTTTATTTCATTTTTTTGATCGTATGTATTTTATTTCATTTGAAGTGATAAAAAGTAGTTTTTTTTATCGTCATGATAAAAAGTAGTTATAACATTATATATTTCAAACATTTACATCAGTATTCTTGCCATCTTTAAGGTATTTGTAACCGTGTTATGTCACCACACGTGATTCAAAATTATTCAAAGATGTAAATATTTAAAAAAAACATTTTATAAATATTGTTTGTTACCTCGAAAGAATGTAAAAATAATTATTAGATCTTAATTTTAGCACCTTAATTTATTTATGAAAAATGTTGTGTCTGAAAAATTCTACTACCTCCGGTTTTATTTAATCTTCACACTTTGACTTCACACAAAATAAGGAAAGAAATTTGACTTTACTGTAGAGTACACTGTTGAGGCACTGTTTGATACTGTTTGGCACTGTAGAGACACTGTTTGGCACTGTTTGGCACTGTTTTGATGTAGATTTCTTTGCCAAAAAAGAAAATAAGAAAGTGTTAAGTTTATTTTAGACCGTCCCAAAAAAGAAAGTGTGAAGTTTATTAAAAACCGGAGGGAATATCAATCATACCTTGAAACTTTTGTAAAACATATTGGGTTAGAATTAGATTGATTGACCGGGCATTGTTACAACTTATCCATTTATTTCTGTTTTTTTTTTTTTGAAATTTTGTATATGATATTCATGTCATATGAAAGATAATAAAAAGTTATGAAAATTGATATATTTTTTTTATAAAATTTAGAGCAAAAATATACGGAGTAAAATTTATTACAGGTTAAAGAAAAAGGAGAATTGTTTTTTTGACTTGACCCCACTAATCCATCTCTCCTGCGTAATTCCTTCGTTCCCCTTCCAATTCGTTCCAATTCGTTCCACTCTTAACCATAGTTTAATTGGGCAGTACTTTGGTAAATATTTCTAACTCAACATTTTCTTTTCTTAGTTTAATGTCTTAATTTTTAAATAAATCAAATCAGTGCTAATTTTTTTACTGTTATAGACTTATAGTTAATGTACAAAATGCATAAACCCTGAGTCATTTTAGGCTCAAATGGCAAGTTTAATACTCCATGTTTTCTTTTGGTCTGTTTTCAGTCCCAGACCAGACCAGACTTAAACAGACCAGACCAGACCAGACTTGGATAGTTTTAAAATACATAGAGACAAGACGTTTAGCAGACCAGACCAGCCCAGTTCAGACCAGACTAGACTTAAACTGATCAGACCAGACCAGACTAGAACAGCAAATTTCAGTCCAAAAGAAAACATCCGCAGTCCTGGACTCGGGTCGGGTCTGGACGTAGGCCCGGACGGGCAGCCGGTTCTGAATAGGTGAGCCCAGGACCGGCCCGGGCCGGGTCTCGAGTCAATTTTTTTCGCCTTTTCCTAATTAACCCCCCTCACCCCAACCCCCAAACCACCCCAAATGACCTAAAATACCCAGCCCAACACGAAAAGTTAAAAAAAATTGAAAAAAAAATTAAAAAACCCGGAACCGGGCCCGAACCGCCCAGGCCGGTTCGGCTTTTGGGTGACCCGAGCCCGCACCGGGAACCCCATGGGCCGGGCCTACCCGGACCGGTCACTGGATGGGCCACAGGGCCGGGCCGGTTCAGCGCAGTACCGGTCCCGGGCCGGTTCCGGGTCCGGCCACCCGGCCCGAGTCCAGGACTACTCCCTAGTCCCTAGGAGGCTAGGACCCTGCTGATTTTTTTTTCCCTTTTGGCCGTCTTGAAGTAGATCGGCAGTTCCCATGCGGTGCGAATTTCCCTGCGACGAATTGAACTTCTTCTCCAAGCTTGTATTGCCATGGTTTGATAAATCAATCGAGTTTAGGATCCCACGACTCTCTCTTGTTAAACCACAAGGCGGCTCAATCAGTGAGCTATAAAGCTTTTGCCAGCATGACAGAAAGCATGGACTGGCATCCCATATTTGTGGTTAACTCGATTTTCCCCCAAAATTTTGGAAGAGTTTGATAACCCGATATGCAGGGGCGGCTTTGGGTATATGTGTAAACCGGCACTCTTGGTCCATGCCTACTCCGCCGAACAGGAATCGGCAACTGCAAGTGGCAACAGGCTTACCGGCTTCATAGTTCTCATCCGACGTACCGACTGTCCACCCGCAATCGCAGTCCGCAGATCACCCACCGGCCATCCTTAGGCCTCGCCCAGTCTTCTAAGTCTCTTAATACTTAGTAGTCCGTGAGTCCGTCTCTATACATCTTATTCCTCTTTCTCAGATTTTCTCTCATACCTCACTTTGTTTATTTCTATCTAGAATTTAGACATTTAATTAATAAAATAGTGAAATACATAGTCTAAATTCTAATATCTAAAGGTAGATGATTAAAGCAGAGTGACGTGCAAACAAGCAGTCAAGCTGTCCATCAGTAAATGCATTTTTTATACTATTTGGTCATTGATATTTTGTTATTTTGAGGTAAATTCCTGAATTTTTGATGTTAAATACTGCGTGATGTTAAAAAGAATGTGAAAAACTTATTCTTTTGAATATTGCAAACCTTATAAACTGCACTTTGAATATGCTTTTTCTTTGAATATGACATTTTTATTCAATTTATCTGAATGTTAATATGATTTGTCATAGTAATTTTTGTGTGTGTGTAGGGCCTCTGAAATTCTCAAGCCGCCACTTTCCATATGAGGTTATTTGCATATTCTCTTCTTGCAAGTCATACGGGATCAGTTCAATAATACTCAACCCTTCTCCACGCTTTTGGGGATTCCCTTTGTGACAAAGCCTAGAAAGATGAGTTTGGATTGTTCTCTCAAACCTTGATGGACATAAGACGAAGAACTGTCCAGAACAATCACAAGATGGACATAAGACGAATTCGAATCCCCAAAACCACTGCATTGTTGTTTCCCACCAAACGCCCCTTGGCTTGTGTCATCTCCACAGCTTCTTCGAACTCTCCTGCTCCGGCGCCGTCATCATCAAGGCCGAGGAGAGCAGTTAATCCTAAACCGCACCCGCCACCTGGACAACAACAGGTATTGGACCGGCGGTGGCTAACATCCTTGCTATCGAGGCCCCATTTGGAATACTCTGATTGTAAACAGCTTATAAGGCAGTTGACTCCTTCTCAGTTTGATGTCCTGTTCTCTGACCTATCTCCTTCCTCTCTAATCCCCTCAACTGCTCTTAAATTCTTCTACATTGCGTCAAGTTCTTGTGGTTTTCAGTTCAGTGTTAAATCCTATTGCAACTTGCTTCGCTTGCTTGTTGCTTCCAACTTGGAAATGCCTGCTCGGTTGCTTCTGATAAGATTAATGGATGGGAAGCTACATACCTTGTTTTCTGACCCAGATAAAAAACACGTTGAGATTGCCACCACATTAGTGGATTTAAGTGGTGTTCCAGCATTGTGTAACACTGTTAGGATATATGATTTATTTCTTCATGTTTGTTGTACGCAATTCAAGAATGCTGGGTTTAGTATAGCATTAGATACCTTTCAGATTTTTGCAGGTAAGGGTTTCTTTCCTTCCTTAAAGACTTGTTGTTTTCTGTTGAACTCTCTTGTGAAGGCTAACGAGCTTCACAAAAGCTACCAGGTATTAGATACCTTGATCCAGCGTGTTATTCCTGATGTATACTTTTTCAGCATTGCCATAAATGCTTTGTGTAAAGGAGGGAAGGTCAAGGAAGCAAAGCAATTGTTTGCAAAGATGGGAGAAATCGGTGTTACTCCCAATGTTTTTGTTTATAACAACCTTATCAACGGGCTTTGCAAGAATGGGGAATTGGAGGAGGCTTTTAAACTAAAAGAAGAAATGGTACGCAATGGTGGCAAAGCAAGTTTAGTAACATATGGTATACTTATTAATTGTCTTATGAAACTTGAGAAGTACTATGAAGCATGTAACCTTTTGCATGAAATATATGAGAATGGCCTGTCTCCAAATGAGGTCATCTTTAATACAATGATTGATGGATATTGCAAAATGGGAAACCTTGATGATGCACTTAGGATGAAAGATGAAATGGTCAGGCAAGGGTTGGTTCCGAATTCAGTCACTTGTAACACCTTAATAAAAGGGTTCTGTAACAAGGGTCAAATCGACAAAGCTGAACTTCTCTTAGAGAATATGTTGACAAAGGGTCTTTCTGTTAATCTTGCTTCATTTACATTGCTTATTTCTACTCTTTGCTCAAATTCAAGATTTGAATCTGCATTACACCTTACTAGGGAAATGGTATTAAGAAATTTAAAGCCAAACGATGGCTTATTGACCATATTGGTTGGTGGCCTTTGCAAGGATCTTAGAAAACATTCTGATGCAGTCGGCCTTTGGTTTTTTCTTCTAAATAGGGGGGTCGTGCCCAATACTGTGACATCAAATGCCCTCATCCATTGCCTCTGTCAATCTGGAAACAAGCAAAAGGCATTTTTGCTTCTTAAAGTGATGTTAGAGAGGCACTTGCCAGTGGATGTGATTACGTATAATACACTAATATGTGCATGTTGCAAAGAGGGAGATTTGGACATTGCCTTCAAGTTGAGAGATGATATGATTAGCCAAAGAATTTTGCCAGATATTTCCACATTCAATTTACTTCTCCATGCACTTTTCACCATTCATAAGACAGATGAAGCCATGGTGCTTTGGAATGAATGCCTGAACAACAAGGGTCTTGTATGCGATGTTCATACATATGGTGTCCTGATTAATGGGCTTTGTAAATCCGGGCTGGTTGAGAAGGGTAGGTATTTTTTCGATGAAATGATCAAGAAGGGAATCCCACCAAATTCTGTTGTTTATAATATGCTTATCTGGGCTTATAGTAGAGATGGACATTTGACAGAAGCACTTAAACTTTCTCATGAGATGAGAAGTAATAATTATCAGCCAACAGCTGTCACCTATTCTTCCCTTATTCATGGAATGTGCAATGTCAGTCAACTTGAGGAAGCAAGACGTCTCATTGATGATATGAGGAAGGAAGGGGTTTTGCCAGATGTTATTTGTTACACTGCACTAATAGGTGGCTATTGTAAGATGGGGTTGATGGATGAAGTTAGGAGTATCTTGGAGGAAATGCATTCTTCGAATATACAGCCTAATAAGATCACTTACACCCTAATTATAGATGGATATGGTAGATCTGGCAAGACTAAGGAAGCTACAATGTATTTTGCTGAGATGATAAAAAAAGGAATAGCTCCAGATACTGTCACTTATAATGCTTTATCAAAGGGTTTTTACAAGGAAGGGAATATTGATTCTGTTTTTGGATTGTTTGATGATATGCTTTATGCTGGACTGGGTCCAGATGAAGTTTCTTATACTTCTTTGATTAATTGGTTGCCACATTCATTAGCCGTGTCTCATGAAGAATGACTTCTATGGAGCAAAAGCTTTGAAGTGTTCTTCTAGCAAGGTTTACTGACTTTGTTGTTTGTGAGGTGAGAATTTCTCTATAAGGGAATTGTGAAACTTTTGATTGAGTTTTGTGTTTCTTTTACTAATTTGTTGCAAAAATGAAATTTGTGTTATTTTCCATCAAATAATCAGTTTCAGGTAATATAGCAACTCAATTATTTATGCTATCAGAAACTCTGGAAGTCAAATTTTTATTAACACAAATACAAGTCACTCTCATAGCTCATTCTAGTAAAAGCACTAGCGCGGGAATTCGTTTTTCGTAAAATTCATTTTCATATTTTTTTAGTCCATTGAGCATTGAATTGTTGAGCATAAGTTCATTTTCCCTTTGATTTAGACCTTCCCCACTTCCCAACAAGTAGAAAGAATGTTTTAATTTTTTATCAGTTGTTTCATGTGTTATTGTCATATTCATAATTGCGCCAATCAATTCCATCTTATTATTCTCATAGCCATTTTTCATATTCATTTAATTTTGCTTATGCTTTCAGGCGAAATGGCAGTTTGAATCTGCATTAGTACCACTGATATTTTTCAGGAGCGGGTATCTTGAAATGGTCTTCAAGCGAACAGTTTGACATGGAGTTATACATCTAGATAGATATGGCAGAATTTGCAACCATCCCATCTAATGTTAAGCTGCATATGGATGGGAAATTGTCAAGACATCGACCTTGTGTGCCTAAATGTTCACAAATTCTATCAAGAAGGTCACATATTCATAAATCTATTAGTCTACTATTACTGAAATTTCCTTGAAGCCCAAATGATGTTATGCATCAACATTTCATGATTGTTTTCTTAATGTTATGATATTTGTAAGAATTTTTATTTGTTTTATGACCTTACCACACATCCAATACCTATTTCTGAAAGTGTCCTATGATTTTGGTTTGCAATTATTTAACTCTGATTCCGTTCCCATTTCAGAAACCTGTCAACATGGAATGCTAAAGGCTCTTTCCCCCCTTGTTCTACAAAAGTGATGGGAGTTGTGAAGAAAAGAAGCTGTCAAAGGTGTTTTTGCTTTAGTTCCTCACTTGATGTTAATGTTGCTACGGCTTATGATTGGGTCACTAATATGGACCAAATGCTTCTCACAACAAGTATATTCCTTACTTACATGGCTGGAGTAATTCCATCAAAGAAGTCATAATCCGATAGAAAACATCAAACATGATTATGTGTTCCCTAATGACACATCTCCTCTTCTCGGTAGGTAAGAAAATTATCAGACAATTAGAGAAAATATCAAACTTAGACCCATTACGTTCTGCATTTAATAGAGCTATAAATACACTTCAATGGAATTGCAGTTTAAACAAGAATGAAGAAGACACTAAATTGCAGTTTGTTTGGGATGTAGCGGAAGGAAAACTGTCAGATTCTCTGCTCGCTGTAAATCAAGAGGTGAAATGGAACATTTCTGCCAATGATGTTGAACAGAATGGTGCAAGATGGCCTTCAAATTTGTTTGCCATTGCTGAAGGTCCTAGGCTATGTTTACTTTGGGCTTCTTTTCAGCTACTCAAGAAAGAAGCAGGCACTGTCTCTGACTCTCTGTCATTTCCTTTTAAATTTATGCATATACATCTATTTCCCCCCACTTCAATATTAAAACCAAGACGTGAGATGAGAATGAGATTGTTTTTTTTTGAATGGCTGCATGAATCCGGACTGTATAAGAAAATAGTGGAAATTTAATACTTTTCTGATCAAATATTTAAACAAATTTATATCTCTTGATAATATAAAAAGAGCGTTTCCCCACTTTAACTTAAGAATCATTGACTCATTGACGCCAATAGTAATTTTTCATTTCTGAGTAATACGTACCTATCACCTAAGAAAATGAAGTCTAATAAGAGTCTTAGAACTTGCATGAGTTTTCCCTTATGTGATCAGTGCTCTCTGCGTGAATCACTATTGGTTTGGAAAAGTAATGATTTATGACTAGCCAGTAATTGGTAGCTTCTTCCTAGAGTTCATCTGGAAATATTAAAATAAATAAATCCAATATTGCCACGAGAGAGTTGTAGGAAAGTCATGATACGTTATTTCTCGGTTTATATTTGTCAAGATGTACATGGGGAAAATAAAATTATTGCAATTTGTTTTTTGTGCTCATTGATATTTAAACTAATGCAGTTTGATATAACTTGTTTTTTCAGGTAGACAATCTTTCTCAGAATTCGGCTAGTGAAGAATTGAGCACAGTTTCACTTTTCAATTCCCATTCGAAAATCCAGTAAACAACTATGTGTCTCGTGGTTGACTGGTTGGAGGAGGTGATATCCTTAGGGAAGAGCAAAGCTGACAGAGTATTTGATATATCCACCCTTAATTACATTTTCTTTTGTCTTACGTTCAAAATATTTAAATTGAATTGCACAATGATTCATGAACGGTTTTACCTGATATTGTCAGAGTCGTATTTGTTCAATGGTTGATACGTTGGATGAGGATGAAGGCATTTTGCAGCTTATCAGAAACTTGGGCAAGGAGGATCTATACATAGAACTGGTGTTTGTCACTAATTTTGGTTTCATCAGGTTCCTCTCTTGATTACTCTATTCTTGGTCCTATTATTTAGATCTGGTATGATTAAATTAGTAAGTGAGCGTGTATTTCTTTATAAGCTGATGTTTTTTTCTTTCTAATTGTTGATCATTTGGCTTCTGCGTCTCTATCCTGTGTTAGATGCTCTTCATTAACTTACCACCTGTTAGGAAGTAACAAATTAAGTACTTACTGCAATGTTGGATAAGATTGAACGGAAAAAGTAACAATGGTTTTCCCCATTGTTCTTAAAAAGGTTTGGGGAGTTTTTTCTTTTTCAAATCCAGATATCATGGATTTGATCTGCTATCAGTCTAATTCTGCTGGCATCTCTCCTCTTCTTACCGTCATGTATTAGATCCTAAGATACATTAGGCTAGGTGTATGTAGGTTGATAATATTCCTTTTCCCCCAAATAAAAACAGGGATGGAGCCTATTATGATCGGAGTTTTATGAATGAGCATGGTGTGGCCATATTAGTAGATTTTGTAATTACACATACAGAAGGTGCTGCAAGCATGTATTTGGAGCTTATTTCAGTTGATCGTAAAGTGGCAAATGAACAGCCTTGGTTTAACTCGGTGTACTTTATCAACCCGAGCACTTCAGAGATTACGGAATGAGGTAAACATTTTTTTCAAAAGCAACTACAGGGTCAGTGTAAGTAGCACGGAGTAAAAATACTGTAGGATACTGAAATAGGGGAACATGTGAATATATTTTACATATAGATTCATACATTTCTATTTGTAATGATTCAATGTAAGAAAACAATAGCATGAAACTATTCAACAGTAGTACAGTACACAATTGAAGTCATACAGTCGATAAAATATGCCACAAAAGAAGTAGCGAACAAGCACAAAATGGAAGAGTTAAAATGTAGAGAAGACAAGAAAGTCACATACAGAGGAGAAGAATTCTGAGGAAGAAGGCTAGTGTTTTGTCAAAACCTAGTTGACAGAAACTTATACTACCAGAGCAAAGCTCCGAAGCACCATAACTTTTTTTTATAGGAAACCAAGCTCTTTTTTACGTTAGAGTATTTGTAGGAGAAACAGAGAAGGTAGTTAAGGAGTGTTGGCATTTGCTTCTACTTTTGAGAAGTGATTAGTTTTAGAAATTATACTAAAAGTGATTAATAGTAAAAGTTGCAAGTGTTTGTGAAGAAAAGTGATTTTAAAAAGTAAAAGTTAGAGTGCTTGGTAAAAAGTACTTTTTGTGTGATAGAAAAAATGAAAGTGAATTTAAAGCACCCCTCCAGGGTCAGCTTAAAAGTGCTTAATTTAAGTAGAAGTGGTTGTTTGAAATACTATTTTTAACTTTGTTAAAGATAAAAGCTAAAGAACACTTCATTAAGCAATGGAAAACACTCCCTTAAGATGCTAAAACTTAAAGTCTGAAGTTTAGTGTTTATCTTTATGGAATTTGGCCAGAGTTACTAAAACGTACATATCAAGATAATCACATTTTCTAAATTACCGAAATAGCCCATAATGTATATATGCCTATATGGAGTTTCTAGCATTTGGAAGGGTTGTGGAGTTTCCTGAACAGGGAAACTCATGCCTTTAGGCGTTTCAATGCATCGTGGTTGTCAGTCTATGTTTATTGATGCCTTGATGCAACAGTGCTGGTTGGTGTCCAAATAGCAATGTCATCATTTTTCATCATGTGAGCTAGGGAGCAGTATTCATATCAATTGTTTGTATGCTTAGGTTTGGGTTTTATGATTTTTAACCTTATTGCAACTTTTTAGCAGGTGGCAATGCGCAAATGGTTGCATCTGAACATGGAAGCAGTTGTATCAATGTATGAAGATCGATTTGACTTTGAGCCCATTTGAATTCCGGGCCTTAGAGAAATCTGGTAAACAAAAAGTCGAAAATCGTCAGTGGTGGAATAAACTTGGTATAATGAGGAAGTCAGGAACTGTATCATCTCCCTTTCGAGTTGCCTTCATCAACCAAATATCTATAGCTGCTAAGCGCACCAAAGAACTGAGGTCATCCTTAAGCGGGTGGTATGCAGAATCCCCTCCCCAAAATCTTTTATTCATTTTATCTATTTATCAGAATCTAAAAATCTTTACTACCACTGGGAAGAAGAACCCCTATTTACTAGTACACTTTCTGTACCAAAAATGGGGTAATGTTTTCTAAGATTTTTTGCTCCCGACAAAAGAGTCTTGTTTCATTAAAAGAAGCTAATTTTGTTGTAATTTGCTAAAAGAGTTACAAAAAAAGTTAACTATAAGTAGGGTTTCATCATGACGGTTTACAGTTTTACCTTGTCCAAGTTAAAAAGTCGTACACTTGTACCTTAACCAAACATGATGACTTCTTTGTTAGAGGAGAGAGTAGCGAAGCTGTACTTTGGCTGATGTGTAACTATGAAAGAACTGAAATGTGCAAGAACAAGCCATGAGTTACAGGAGACAATTTACTTCAGTCTTTTCATGCTTTCTGATATGTGTTGCAGGAGATATTACTTCAGCCTTTTCCTTGAGTTGTCTGGTATTGAGAGCATGGTTACATGTTTTTCAACGATTGAAGTAAGAATTTCTGTGGCATGCTGAAATGACCAAGACCAAGGCTGCATATGTTTAGTCAAAAGAGGTAAATAGGTGATGGACATCATATGATCATTTGGTAAAAATATTAGGTGATTCACCTGTTAAAAAAGAGCAGTCCGGTGCACATAGGCGTCCCCGCAAAGCGAGAGTTTGGGGAAGGCTTCCACCACATGGGTGTATAAGGGGCTAGCCTTTCCTTATCACTTTTTACAAGAGGTCACTCCCAAGACTTGAACCCATGACCTCTCAGTCACACACAACACCGTAACAGGTGCGCCAAGGCTCCCCTTCAGGCGATTCACTTGCTACTTGAATAAATTTATTTTCTGTAGACAGATGCTCAGTTGCTGCATATATGTTCCAGTATTATATGGTTCATTTTAGATTGGATAGTCATTAATTATTATTGTTTTTATGCAACTGTCGAAATCTGGAAGCTACTTATTCATAAGAATCCTGTAAAATATCTCATTTGATTCTTTCCATTTGTGGTTAGGTGAGGGTAAAACCCAGCCTTTATGAGCAAAGTTTAACCTTCACCGTGAAGAGAGCAAGGGCTATTCCATGAGTCCAAACTGGTATCTATATTATTTTCTCTCTCTTTTTTTTTTTGCTTTGGTTGAGTTTGCATGTATTTCGACTTTACCTTTGGGATTTTGCTTGGTGTACACATTTTTTGTACACGTTTCACACAATTGACAACTCTCAAAATTTCTGCATTTTTAGACAAATAAAATAGAGGATGTACAAAAAAAGTTTACACAAAACGCGTACACACACATTTGTCCTTACTTTTATAGATAGAGTAGATATGTCATTCATGCTTTACTTTATGAAAAAAAAGAAAAAAAATCTATGCTCATGTTTTACATGTGCATTCAAATATCTAAGTTGGCAGCATCAATTTCACATTGCACGATCACTCGTTAAATGGGTTAACCTGATATGATCAGAGTCTTATTTGTTCAATGCTTCATTTGTTGGATGGGGATGATTGGATGAAGGCATTTTGCAGATTATCAGAAAGTTGGGAAAGGTGGATGTATACGTAGAAATGGTGTCTGTTACACTATTCTTGTTTCATCAGGTGCTTCTCTTTATTCTTCTATTCTTGGCTCCAATATTTGATATGTATTTAATTAAATGAGAAATTGAATGTGTATTTTCTATAAAACGTGAAAGTTTTATTCTTGTCCATCTTCTTCTCTATTATCTGAAGGTATTGCTTTTCTTTGACTTGCCACTTGGTTGGAAATAGAGGGAATGCCAAAATGGACTTCACTCCATTTTCATACTACATGGAATGAAAATTTAATCAATATATTCTTGCATTGAACTTATAAAGGATTGAGAAACATAATTTTTGATTTTATCCAAATGAAATTTGAGCAATTACGTGATACTCATCATGATGATCTGCACCCCCTAACTCTTACTGTGTAACTGTGTAATCATCTTAATCTCCAGAGAGCGTCTGCTTCAAAAACCACATCACAAGCTGAATAAAAACTAGTAAATGATGATGAGCCTTGACGGTGTACTAATGACTGGCCTAGTGGCCTTCAAGGAGAGAATTTCAAAGTAGGCAAAGATGAAGTTCCTACCGGACTCAAATAGGCAAAGATGAAGTTCCTACCAGATTCAATAGCAATCGACGGGTCTCTCTCTTCATTACACTTGAGCTTGAACAAACGTTTGTACTCACTAACAAACGTTATCTACTTGTTTTTAGTTGCATTCCACATTAATGACTTTTTTTTTTTTACCTTAAAGCATGTCATTATAACCCGATTGGAAAAATATCGCAATTTTCTAAAAGAAGGTACTCCGTAATTACTTCGTATTTAGCTTCCCCTGGGTGAAATAGAGGATTCAAATATATGCTGTTTTCTTTTGTTTTTCTCTTTCTGTCCCAACTCCCAAGTTAATTGTTGTTTCTATTTCTTACTGTCTCAAAGTATCTTTTATTTTATATTTAGTGAAAATGTGTTCTAATGACCTTGATTCTGTCCATATCAACTCTTTTGACGTTAAATGTTTTTATGGGTGAATTTAACGTTGAATCAGATAAGGGATTATACGAGATTTTTTTGGAGTAAATATTTATGTCATCTTCGTTAGACTTCATAGAATAATAATAATAATAATAATAATAATAATAATAATAATAACAACAATAATAATGATGTGTCGTTGACAAAAAAAACAAATCAAAGTAGAAGTCCAGTTCCACATAGAAGTCCAGTCGACCCATCCCTCTCGTTCGAACTCCCCGACCAACATTTGGTAACAGCTTCAGACAGAGAAATGCCCGCTCGCCTCCCACCGCCAACAAGCCCTGTCTGGAATTGATCTCAAACTGAGAGGAATGCTTTTAAGCCTAGCATCCCTTGATTCGAAAATATCACATATAAGGTCTGAATCCCAGCTCTTCTATGATGTGCAAAAAAGATTCACCACCCTACTATTGTGAATACCCATTACAGGGGCAGTTTCAACCTTAGGATTAATCTCATCCGGTAACCACGGCTCAGACCATACATTGATAGATTCCCCGTTACCCACACGCCAGTAGTAACTATCCTTTATAAATGCTATGCCAGATAAAAGACGGGTTATGCCCATTTTTAGCAGTCAAGAAAGTACCTTTAGGATAGTAACGGGCTTTAAAAGCCCGCCCCACTAAAGTCTCGGGTTCCGTAAACAGTCTCCAAGCATGTTTGACTAACATAGATAAATAAAAAACTCTGATCTTCTTAAATCCCATGCCTCCCAATTTCTTAGGCTTACACAAGAAATCCCAATTACACCACTTAATTCCTTTCCCAGATTGCCCCTTCCACCAAAACGCATTCATAAGGACTTCCATTTCCCGACATAAATCCTTCGGAAAAAGAAAAACATTCATTGCATAATTCGGCATTGCTTGGACCACGGATTTAAGAACTTCTCGGCCCGCCCTAGATAAAAACCGATTATTCCAACTTTGAATGCAGTTTACTATCCTTTGTCTCAAATAATCTAAAATTTTCCGCTTACTTCTCCCTATCAACGCTGGCAGCCCCACCCCCAACATCTCTGTGAGACCAACTCGGCATTCATTTGGAACATTGAGATTGATCATCTGCCCCGAAGCAATCTCGTAGTCATGTAAAATTTCCTTCACTAAAGATGCTTCCCCACGGGTTGCTTTAAAGAAAAGTAAATGCGAACAACAAATGCGAAATCCGGGGGGTTAAAAGGTTATTCCTAGAGTTTTAAATATAACTACTCCGAAGTCCGAACATAATAATATCACAAAATTTATCTTCATCTCTTTTCTTGTTTCACATCAACTATTTATTTGCGACCGCTGACCGCCCATAGCTTATAATCATTCTATATTTTCTACATAATAAGGCTTTAGAAAAGTTGTCGGAAAAAATCTCTACCATATGGAGTGATGTTACGATAATACGATCACTAATATATTTGGACATTTTTTGAAATATTTAAAATTTAGTAGGGAGTAATATACAAAGGACAGCCCTTTAAAAGAAAAATAAGGAATCACCAAATCAAAATTCTTTATAAAAAAATCAGAATTTAAAAAACAAATATATATATATACTCTGTATATGGGTGCGAAATTACACACAAAGTGAGCATTTTATAAATAAAAATGATCATTTATCTATTATAATTACAAAATTGCCATTGGGTATACGTAGTTACGTACGCCTAGTTTGCTCTCAAAGTCTATCTTTCTTCCCCAATGTTCCATTTTCTGCGGGAAAAAACAAACAAACAATAGATCAAACATTTTTTTCCTCTCTTTATTTCTCTCTTCTTAACTCATCATGGTTTCATCAAATAGATAAAGTAAATGCTGAATCTTATCCTTGTTTTTCTATCGAACATACAAATTCATACCACCCACATTTGATTTTTTAATTCACAATTCGTATCTTTTTTATTCCTTCTGATTATTATTTCATGGTGGCTTTACCACCCACATTTGATTTTCTGATTCATAAGGTTTCAGTTTCATTAAAGCATTACCTGCTTGAAATCGAAACAGAGGTTTGGTTGGTTGACTGCATTATTAGAACAACGGCAATATTTGATCTTTGATCAGATTATACATTAACCTTATTGGTTAGTTCATAATATATATTGATTTGGGCATTCGAAAAGCATGAGCTGTTTTTCGTGTTTTACTTCTCATGATCAAAGGAACGCTTCCAAGAGGCTTAGCAGCAAAAGAAATGATATTCGTCTCCCCGATGATCGTCATCAAACCAAGCCTGGTTGGTTAGCCTATATACAAGTCTCTATTCAAACAACCTTTCTTCAGAAAATATATAAATACAATCTAACATATAAAGTCTTTGTCAAGATAGAAACTTTTAGTTTCACTTTACCTTTCTGATGACAAAGAGGGTATTGACTTTTTCTTTTTGAATTGTAGAGAGCAAAAAGAAGCCTACTGGAGAAGCCACAAATCCCAAAAGCGGCAACAATATTGCAGCCCAAACATTCACCTTCAGAGAGCTGGCAGCTGCCACAAAGAACTTTCGGCAAGAATGTCTGATTGGTGAAGGCGGATTTGGCCGCGTTTACAAAGGTCGCTTGGAGACAACTGGCCAGGTACTGGTTGGCTAATGTAGTAGGTCAAATGATGTGATCATAAGTAGTAAAAGCTTAAGCTTTAATTGATTAATAATGAAGAAGGTAAGGTTTGATAGACTTTTTAACTACATTGGTTAAAGAGCACCATTTTAGCTTTTCTCTCAATTTTTTCAATAAACTACTACATTGTAGTATGTTTTGAATATATAATAATAATTCGGCAGATTCAGCCATAACATCAGTGTTTCAATGGCTTCAACTCATTTTAGTCTTAGCAGACGGGTTCTTATTATATACTTCATTATATACGGATAGTATGTTATTACATCATTATATCTTAACAATGTCGGCGTCGGGTATGCAGATAGTAGCAGTGAAACAACTGGACCGTAATGGAATGCAAGGCAACAAAGAGTTTCTGGTTGAGGTGTTCATGTTGAGCCTTCTACACCATCCAAACCTTGTGAGCTTAATCGGGTATTGCGCCGATGGAGACCAAAGACTTCTAGTGTATGAGTACATGCCCCTGGGCTGTCTTGAAGACCATTTACTTGGTACTCAAATTAGCCCATTTCAATTGAATCTCTTGCTTTATTCTCTCGTTAAATTTGGATACTAAGAATTACAAACTAAGTCTGGTTTGGCTTCATTTTCTGTTTTTTATTGTCTGTTTTTAGGAACACTAAATAAAAGAATCTCAAAACTAGAAAGAGTGCTTTACAAAATTTTGTTAGCGCACATTTTTCATACTAACATGACAATCATAAGTGTGATTATTTGTTAGTTCATTTGATAATGTGTATCATATACCTCTTAAAATCATCTACAGTAATAAAGAGTTGAAAATTGGCAGCAACATCGAACGCGTACTTATATCTTGCATTTGTTCAGATCTTCATCCAGACCAAGCTGTATTGGATTGGCCAAAGAGGATGAAAATCGCATTACATGCAGCCAGAGGCCTGGAATATTTGCACGAAAAGGCTAACCCACCGGTGATTTATCGCGATTTGAAGTCTTCAAACATATTACTAGACAAGGAGTTCAATGGAAAGCTTTCCGACTTCGGGTTGGCCAAGGTTGGACCTGTAGGAGATAACTCTCATGTTTCTTCGAGAATAATGGGAACATATGGTTACTGTGCTCCGGAGTATCAAAGAACGGGTCATCTAAGTGTCAAGTCGGATGTTTATAGCTTTGGTGTTGTTCTGTTGGAATTAATCACAGGAAAGAGAGCAGTAGATCCTATGAGAAAAGGTCATGAGCAATTGTTGGTTGCTTGGGTAAGTTTGGAGTTCATGTCTCTTAAGACATGTATACTTTTTGATCCAATACTTGAACTTTTCGGATTTTATATCAGAGACCCTTAAATATGAAGGTCACACTTTGATCATGAGGGGATCTAAAAATTTGGGTTGAACAAGGTTGAAAAATTATTATACACGGCGTAAAGCGACAAAGGAATATGTTAAATACTAAAACGAAAAAAGTTACACACTCCGTAATATTATTTTGCCTTGGACTTTGTCTTCAGATTCAGCTGGAATACTCCATATTTGTTTTTAGTGTCACTTTCACCATAGTTTGATGCTTCCAAATTGAAAGGCACGAATACCCTTGAAAAAACAGTTGAAGGCCTGCACATGAAAAAATTCAAACATAAATACCAAGTGTCCTTTAACACTATAGTTCAAGGACTAAAAGACCTTCAACTACTATGTTTCTTATGTGAAATCTTTCTATCCTAGCTAGCTAACATGTTAATATGCTCTTAATACGTTTACAGGCGGAGCCTTTGTTTAGAGACCATAACAGAATATTTGAACTTCTTGATCCACATTTAAAAGGAAACATACCAAAGAAGAGTTTTAGGCAGGTGGCTGCAATAGCTTCAATGTGCTTGGAAGAAGATCCTGAAGTAAGGCCATTGATGACAGATGTAGTAAATGCTCTCAATCATCTTTCAGAAGGGCTGCAAAGTGGATCAGACGATTCTCCGGTGGAGCCTCGGTCAGAGAATGAGAATCATGACAATGGAGTATCCGCAGAAGAACGACAGAAAGCAGTTGCAGAGGCTATAGAGTGGGGTGCAAATTCAAGAAACCACAATGAATGACTATTCACTCTTCTGAACACTTTCATATATGTTCTCTGGGATTTTCCTAATTTGGATGGAAAGAAAAGAGCATTTTCCTATTGTAAATATGAACATCTTCCTATTATAATGGACTATAAACATTTTTCTTTTGTTTGTGCATCACTCCCATCTAGAGCCTTGTTACGCCTGACGCACCATAA